ATATGATAGGATGTGATGAGAGGAAACTGGTAAGAGAGTAAATTAGTCAATGGAAGTAAGGAAGGAGTCCTAGAAGTCCAGAACTCTGCCCAGATGCAGATGGCCTGGAGCAGAGGTTCTGTGTCCTCCACTCCCCAAGCACACACCAGCTCCCAGGACTGAGTTGACCCCCAGAACATCCAGGACCCTGGATTCTCTGATCAGACCCCTCCACCCTGGCATGTCCTGAAGATGATTTTGCCTGAACAGGGGAACACGTGTGTCTTCCCCAGAGACAGCTGGGGCTCTGGCACAAATGCAGATCATTACTCTTGGTTTCTAATGTGGGAGGAGGAAGTGTGAAGGGTGGAGGAGCTGTTTCTTTTATCACAAAATTAGATTAGAAACTGGCTGGCTGCTCAGGTCAGGGATCCACCCAAACTAGGCCTACAGGAGCATCATCATTCTGCTGGGTGGCCCCATCTCACCCTGGAGGGGCTTACAGTTTTAGGACCTGACTTCTTTGCTGTTCAAATTCTTGAGAAAAGGCATATGGTGTGCTTCACGTGAAAACTCAAACCAGATTCCAAATTCTCACTTTGAATCCTCATATCATTCATGTATTCATTCATTAATTCATTCACTCATCCAACATTTACTGATCACCTACTACGTGTCAAACACTATGCCTGGCATTGGGAATACAAACAGACTCTATCCTTGAGTTGCTCACAGAATTAATGGTGGAATAAAATAAACCTTAAATTATACTATAGTGCATTAAATACTATGACATAATGGTGATTAAAAAAAAACTAAGTTAGCCAATATTTATTATTACTACATACTTACTATATGCCATTTATTGCTTTCATTGATTTGTATACATGGACTTATTTCTTCCCTAGGCAAACCATATGTGGTGGGCACTATTGTCAGCCCATTTTATAGATGACAATAATGAGGTACAGAGAGTATTAAGTGGCAAGTGCACCATGCATCTAGGAACGAGGGCAACCAGGAATAGCCCTGTTTGTAACCCTCTGCTACTTCTAGAGGCATGGGAACATAGAGAAGGATGCGTTAGGTATGTTTCCCAGAGAAGGCAATGACTGGCCTAACTGTTGCAGAATGAGAAGTTGGTCAATCAGAGGAAGATCAGGGCAGAAGATTGGTGAGGATTTTCACCCATCAAATTTTCACTCATCAAAAGTTTCAAACAGAACTGCAAATGGAAAGCAGAGAAGCATGGCAGGGCATGTGCATTCCAGAGAATGCAAAAAGGGGAGAGGCAGAGATGAGCTGGGAGAGAGAGGCTGGGCTAGGATCCCTGGTGAGAGGGGAGCTCATTTCTTGAGGGACTGGAGTCCCAATGAGCTGTTTTTACAGGTAAAGTGTTGTGATCACAGTCACCACTTTAGGATTTTTGGAGGAGATTTATTTATGGTTTGGGTGCACTAATAATACTAGCCAATATGTGAATCACAATAAATTCTCTCTGATTGACCTAGTGACTCTCCATTTGTACTCCCTTCCCATCCAGACCTGTTCTCTTGTCTGCATTGTGCCACAGAGAGACTGACACCCCTGATTGCATCCTATCTTCCAGCTGGGTTTAGCCAGTGGTACGCATCAGCAAGAGATTCAAGGGTGGGAGGAGAAAGAGGCTGGGAATTTCCTCCAGCTCTTTCCCTGCTTCTGTGCCAGTGTCTGTCAGTGGCCGGGCTCCCTCTGCAACCATAGTTCCTGCCAGCAGCTTTTCCTCCACGGCTTCAGCAACATCTTGCCCTCCTTCTGTCCTTGCAGGTTCAAGGTAGTAATGGTTCCCCACTATTGCAAGTCTCTGAGTGCTTTGACATCTCTTATTGGTTTCCTTAGCTCTGTCCCCATTCCTATGGATTGTTGTGTCTTCATCAAATCCCACTTCCAAGTCCGAGCTGCATGAACCTTCTTTCTCTTAATGATAACCAATCATGCTGAGAACTTACCTGGTACCAATTACCATTTATTGAATACCTACTGTGTACTTGGGGCTTTAAACACACTTTTCCATTTAATTATCGCTACAGCTCCATGAGTTATGGACCATTTATATCCATTTCAGGAATCCTGAAACTGAGGCAGGCATATATTTAACATAGATGTGAAGTACTTGCCCAAAACTATATAAGCCTCTTATATAATAAAATCACACAATTAGGAACAAAGTTCAGATTCAAACCCAGGTGTCTGGACTCTAAAACTCATTCTCTTTCCACTGTTCTCGGGTCACTGAGTCAACTCTTATAAATGCTTAATTTGTCAGACTCTGGAAAGCCAGTAAGGGTAGCAGTAGTAAAATCTCTAAGGGGAGCAGAGGAAAGGGTATTCCGTGGAGGCTCTAGGTCTTACTGAGGATGCTGGATCTTTAAGAAAAAGTTCCAGAACTTCTCCATTCCTGCATTGATGGAAACACAATGGCAGGTGATTCCCCAAAATATCCCTTGCTTCACAATGTTCAGTTTCTCTATGAAGGGGAACTTAGCCCTTACTGAGTTCAGAAAGAAGTAGAAAGTCATCCCTCCAAGACACACAGCAGAAAGCATAAGGGTTTATTTATAGAGAAGAATTTTATTATTTTTAAAAATCACTTGTGGGCTTCTGTACCAAGGCATAGGAAAAGGCATGCGTTGGTTGCCAAGGGTCAAGGGAAACCACCTTGTTTTCTTGACAGTGCTGTGGCTGAAACAGCCCTTCCCAAAAACAATACTTGGGGGGAAGAAAGGCAAAACCAGTGGGAGGCTTTAAAATGCTGTGGTTTGCCTTTTTTTTTTTCAGTGTCTTTGGGCTGAAAAAGGCAGTGGAACAAATTCTGCAACTAGCCCAAAACACACTGCCTCTTGCACTGGGCGCTCCGGGGGCTGCCCTCACATGACTCATGTCTTCCCCTACTCGCCTCAGACCTCTCGTCCTGGCCCATCTGTCAAGGGTAGTAATAACAACATGGCAGTGATGATGCCTTCACCTCCACTGCAGACTGCAGCAGCTCTTTCTGTTTCACAAAACCCTTTCATAGTCTAACAGAATGGCTGCCTTTATCCTAAGTGCCAGGCTCCCTACTCTTAGGATTTTATCTCGTCTCAACCACAGCCTTTTGGAGACATCATTGTTATGCTCTTTTGACAGATGAAAAAACCCAGGCCCAGATGATTAAATACCATGCCCCAAATCACACAGCAAGGAAACAAGATGAGATGTGAAGTCAGTGGTCTTAGACTTCAGAGCCGTTCTGGGAATTTGCGGTGTCCTCTCATTTTGCAGAGGAAGAAACCAAAGTAAAGAGAGATGGAGAGGATGCTACAGACCAGGTCTCAGGATGGCCCAGGCGGTGCCATCTCCAGGCATATGGCTCTGTCTCCTGAGGCTGTGACTCATGACGGTGCCAGACCATCAACTAAACAAACAGCCACCCACTGGGCCACTCCAGCCAATTGTGGACCTTTGGTTTCAGACCCAAACATGTGCCCACATTGGCTCAGATATATCCAGAGCCTTGTCTTGTGATACCATCAGGCCCTCTGTATATTTTAAAAGCAGAGGCCTCAGACCCCCAAGAGGTCAAGGGGTGGTGCTTGAATCTGACCTGAACAGGTCTAACCTCAAGGACAGATCTGAATTCACCCGACATTCAGCCTGGGTGGAATGGCAGAGAAAATGCTGTTACCTGGAACACCTCTCCACAGACTCTTGATGTCCTGTGTGCTGCCTGCATTGAGCAATGTCATTCACCAGCTACGGGTCCCCGGACAAGCTACTGAACCTCTCTGAGCCTCACTTTCTTCAGAGGATCAATCGAAATTTTCACAGTCAGGAATTCATTCCTTCTAAAAACCTGTGCTAAGGAGACATGGCAAGGTGTTCTGGGCCTACAGAGGCATGGACAGAACTGGTGCAGAAGAGCAAAATGGATACTAAAGCTCTAAACCCTCCCACCAAGGTTCACACTATATTTTAAACTGGGCTCATTTTGTGTCATTGCAAAGGAAGGTGAATATATTTACCATTGTAAAATTCTGCTCTTCCTTCCCAGAATTTCAGAGTAGATGGGTCAGTACAAGCTATCTTGTCTGACCACCTCCACATGGTACAGACATTAAGGCCAGGGAAGGGAAGCCCTGGCTTGATACCTCACAAGGGCTTGAACCGAGACACAATGCTCTTTCCAGTAGGGCTCACTACCAATCTAAAGAATTCTCTCAATTGCATATGGGAAAAGGAACCTCTAACTCATAGCATTTTTTCGAAGATAGGAACAAAGGGATAGGAAAATGTTTTGTACACAAATGCAGTATGCATCTGACAAGAGGTATTATTAATTTCAAATAGTCATGTGAGGCTTCTTCAGTGATGCTGAAGAAGAGACCTGTAGCAGGGCTTACAGGAGGTATGGCTCCAACATACGTGTGTGCTTTGTCTTTAGTCAGTACACTGCCATTATGTAGAAAGTTTAACATTGAAGGTAGAGAATATCTGATTTGTTTGTCAAAATGAATGCCTGCATGTTGAGAGATGTGGTTTACCAAGAGTCCCCAACCTGCATGCCTATAGAAGCCTGGAGACTAATGCCTGAAAGCGGGTGGTGAGTTCCTGTCCTCTCTAATGCCAGCTGATTTTTGCCAGGTAGGAATTAAAATCTACCTCCTTTATTATACTGATGGCAACCTTTTTTTTTTTTTTTTTTTTTTGAGATGGAGTTTTGCTCTTGTTGCCCAGGCTGGAGTACAGTGGTGTGACCTTGACTCACTGCAGTCTCTGCCTCTTGGGTTCAAGTGATTTTCCTGCGTCGGCCTCCCAAGTAGCTGGGATTACAAGGATGCACCACCACGCACGACTAATTTTGCATTTTTAGTAGAGATGAGGTTTCTCTATGTTGATCAGTCTGGTCTCGAACTCCTGACCTCAGGTGATCTGCCTGCCTTGGCTTCCCAAAGTGCTGGGCTTACAGGCGTGAGCCACCACCCCTGGTAGGCTATTTTTTCTTTTTAACTACAGAGATAGGCTTCATATTTTCTTTAAACCTTGGGTGAGCCCATCCAAAAATATATCTTCAAGTCTGATCTAGCCTGTGGGTCACCCCTGCTATTCTAGATGTTCATATCGTGTGGTTTCTTTCCTCCACATTATGATGGGCATCTTCTTCCGTTTGTCCACTGACACCATGACCTTGTTACCATGACTTAGCCCTGAGGCCAGGGTGGCAGGCCAAAGATGTTAAGAGTGCAGAAAGAACACACACCTGTCTAGTAGCTTAAGGTTGGATCTCAGCTCCGCCTGCCATCTATTAGCTGAGCAAGGGGCACAATTTATCGGTTTCCTCATTTATAAACATATGCTACCCACCACCCAAGGTTGTGGTAAGAAATAAATGAGATGACAGGTATGAAAGGTTCAGCCCGTAGAAGATGTTCAAATACGATAGCTTCCTTCTACTTGTTGTAGATCTTACCTACTGTTCAAAACCAGATGCAGGCTGCAGCCCCTCCAGCCTTCTCTGACCTCTCCAGCTCATAGGGCACTTTCTTTTCTGAATTTCATTTGCCCTTCATGGCTTGTGAATTCAAACAATCCTTGGCATTACCAGGCAACTTTTCATGTGTATGTGCGATACATTGCCACAATTTGGTCATCAGCTCCCTAAAGACACTTTTCTTCTTCTCATGAGCTTAATTCCATATCTTTTACTATTGAGTAGGCACTGCCTTGTGTGAAGCTTTTTCATGACAACCATGTAAGGAAGAGGGCTCCATGAACTGCCCTCTAATGAGGCAGCTGGCACACCAAATTTGATAACTGGAGAGAAATCCGTAAACATATAGTGTTCCCGGTCACCAAGCTGACCAAGCAAGATAGTGTGTAGATGATGAGACTTCATCCCACTTCTACTTCTGTAAAAATAATGCAAAGTGCTATTTTCCCAGGGAAAATGTGGCCGACTGAAAAATGTCCCCCTAAGATATCAGGTCCTCATCCCTGAAAGCTGTGACTATCTCCTTAAATGAAAAAATATGTGATTAAGTGAAGGAATTGGACTTAGGGAGATTATTTTGGATAGTCCAGATGGGTCCTAAATGCAATCACAAATGCCCTTTTAAGAGATAGGCAGAGGGAGATTTGACACAGACAGAAAAGAAGCCAATGTGTGGGAAGAAGCAGAGAGGGAGATTAGGCTGCTTCAGAAGAGAAGGCAGCCATGGACGCTGAATCAGAGAGAGAAAAATGCTACGCTGTGAAGATGGAGGAAGGGGCCATGATCCAAGGAATACAAGGAATGCATCTCCAGACACTGGAAAAAGGCAAGGAAATGGAGTCTCCTTGGGAGCCTCTGCAGAGAGTGCGTTGCTGCCAACACCTTGATTTCAGCCCATGGACACTGATTTCAGACCTCTGATCTCCAGAACTGTAAGAGAACAAATGTGTGTTGTGGTAAGCCACCAAGTTTGTGGTAATTTGTTACAACGTCAATAGGAAACTATGACAGCAAGTGAGGGGAAAAAATAGCAGAAATAAAGAAATAACAATGAGGCATGGAACTAATGTGGGGGATTTGAAATAGTCCTGCAGAAAATCTCCACAGACCTGAATGCTTGTCCCAGTAATTTCGCCAGCTGGCTATTTTATCTTGAGCAGATCACTTCACCTCTTTGAGCCAGAATCTCCTCATCTGTAAAATAAGATAAAAACCTACCTATCATATGTAGATGCTTGATAAAAGGGAGCTGCTATGACATTAATATTAAAGAATGACAAAATATGACCAGGCAGTGGAGTTGGATTATAACTCTCCTTTTGTGGAATGCAGTAACTGAAATGATGTGACCCACTGATGAAATTCAGTAGGAACCCTCTGTACTCACTTCACAAGGAGAGAAAGAAGTCAAAAGATAGAGATGTATTAATCTTATGTTTTGCCTTCATACTTTTTCACCCTTATACTTTCATTTAGGTCTTTGCTTTTTGCCCATCCCAAAAATTTGTTAAGATGGCATGTGACTTAGCACAAAATGATACATTGAGTCATTTCAAGTTTAAAAAGAAAATATTACTCCTATAGGTGATATTCTGCAGAGACCACCAAGACCCCAAGACTCTACGCATGAATCCATCTTTGAGCCACTGCTAGAACCTAGCTGACACTGAGATTGTTCTGCCACCTACTAGCTGGGTGAGTTTCAGAAAGAGCCTCATCTGCTCTCTGTCTCAGTTACTTCGCCTGTAAAATGGGAATACCACCTTCCTCAAAGGATGCTTTTGTGGAGAGGTTAAAATAACACAGGGAAAGCACTTAGCTTGGGCATACACAGTCAGTGTTCATTCATTAGTAGCTTCTTAGCACTATTATTGTTATTATTGTCACTCAGCTCTCAAGGAACCTAATTAACTGTAGTAAAATTTCATCTCCTATATTTTTGAACCCGTTAGCTTCTGTAGGCAGGAACCTTGTGTTACTCCAGCAGCAGAGCTTAGTGATTAAGAGAAATGAAGGTAGAGGCGGTAGTTTGCATCCTATTCCCACCATTTACTGGCTGTGTGATACTGAGCCAATCACGTAAACACTGATCCTTCGCTTCCTCATCTGTAGTATGAAATAATAATGGTATTTATCTCACAGAATTGTCATGCAGATTTTATAAGACAGTGCCTTTAAAGCTGGCATACCCAGGTAATAGGCACTCAGTATTCAATGAATTAAATTCCTTCGCTTGAATTTCCACTTAAAAATAGAGAAAAAAAAGTCCGAAGCTCTGAAGCAAAGAATGTTACTGTGCTCTTCACCGCATGTGAAAACTGCAGCTTGGTGCCCGACCTCCATGATCATTTTATAAGGCACAGGATTTTCAGTTACTCTTGTTGTTTCTGGGTTGATTTCTCCAGAAATGGTAACCTGTCTCTCCCAGAAACCTAAGGTGTTCGCCTGGAGAAAAATCCCTTAACCAAGGGACCATGTGACCTTTCATAGGCAAATTTACTCACAGCCTAGGGCGGGAAGAGGCTGAGGGAGCTCCCCTTCCAAGTGCACCAGGCTGTGGGAATTTCCTCCAGGGCTTCCTGGGCCGGCCCTGGCCGCACCTCATTGAGCTCCTTGCAGTTTCTGTCAGCGCTGAAACTGCTGTGGAAAGTTCAGCTTGAGAACAGGGAACTAGGGTGTTTTGCCTTTTTTCTTTCTTTTTTGAAAGTCGAACAACCCTCAGACTTGACGCAGAAATCTTAACCCAGAACAAATGTTTTTCTGACAGGTGACCACCCGGAGGAGCAACCAGGCAGGGCATTTTGACTCTGTAAGGACAGTGACACTGGCGCGAGCCAGACCTCTCCAGAAATCAAACGGCCAGGTTCACGCGCCAGCAGGGACTGCTGGAATGTTGCTTTGTTTCTGACTCTGAATTTATAGTCTCACTCCTCCTTCCCTGCCCTCCTGGAATGCAATTTATTATTGTGCAGACCTAGTGGCTTTTCTCCAACTTTATTTCTTTTTTCAGAAATAAACAAGGGTTTTACAGCTCCATAGCCTCCCCAACGTTTGTTTGTTCTTTCCTCTGTACAGTGTGGGCCATGTTTGTTCCCTGGAAAAGTCTCTTCCCTAATTATTTTCACATTTCAACAGCTTTTGTTTCTTCTTTCTGTGAGGTTTATGAAAATGCTGATGGTGGATTTGCTTCAGGCTAAATCGTACTGTAAACGTTTTCTCCTGGCACATGGGAGCCTCGGTGACCCGGGGACCCTGTTGCTATTCCTTATTGTGTACCATGCCAGAAGGAAGTTTTAAAATCCTGAAACACTCTTGCTGATGGCTCGAAGATAAATACATAAATTGGTAGTATGGAGAAAATCTGCTAATCTTGTACAAGGAAACTTGGACAATATCATGTAGGTAAGACCCAGCTGAGAAAAAGGCTGCCTTGAACACTTAGCTTTCATTCTACGTTGAGATCTTTCTGTCTCTGACCACAGACCGAAATGTGTTATGTTTTAAGGAAATAAAGATTTTTTAAAGGAAAGGCATTTCATTTTAGCAAAATCTTGCAATTCTGGGATGGGTAAATGTTTGTTCTAGATGGAAGGTGTAAACCTAATCCTGATGTTTGCATGTTCAGTTTGAAGACTGAAGAATCTTTCTACCAATAGCAATCTTGAGTTCTGGGAGACATTGAGGTTGAAAAGGATGGTGTGTTGTTTGTTTCTCTCAGTGTTACATGGTTCTCAGTGCCTCGTTTGTTTCTGTACAACTTTTCCCTCTGTCCACCCCCGGATAGCACTACTGCCTATGGCTCCAGAAACTCAGATTCATGTGTCTAGGCTGCCATAGAATTTCACCTGATATCAGACAGAAACCTCAAACCCATCCTATCCAAAATGAAATTTTTGCTCTTTCCCCCAGTCTGTTCTTTCTCCAAATTCCCCACCTGGTGACACCATCATTGCCTAAAGCCCTTGCAGGAAGACTGGAGTCCTTCTACCTCCTCACTCTCTTGTCTGATCAGGCCTTGAGTTCTGTTTATTCTACCTGCTCATATCTGTCAAGTTTGTCCACCTTTCTCTGTTCCCACAGCCATTTGCCTCATTCTGACTTACTGCCTCTCACCTACCCCAGTGCTACAGCCTTTTTGCTGGTCTCCACCAAATCTCACTCTCCCTACCCACCATGAAAAGAATCTCCTCCAGAGCTACAAGAGTGTTCTGACCTCAGTATCGTTACTTCCCTGCTTAGAAGCCACCTATGATCCTCTCACCCTATGCAGTTGGTCCAAGACCTGGAACATGGCACTCAGAGTCCTCCCTAAGCCAGTCCCAGGCTTGCTCTGCCATTCAGTGGCCACATCCACATGCCCTTCCTCATGGCTGGCCATTCCCTGAAACACTCGCCATGATCTTCTCTGCTTCACATTGGTCCCTTAACTTGGGGGTGCTCTTCTCCCTCTTCTCTAGCTGGGAAAAAAAAAAAAAACCCTCTTTAGTCTTAAAGGGCCGATTCAAACCCCAGCTCCTCTATGAAGCCTTCCTGAATTCCTAAGCAGAGTGCTCCTCCCTCCAAGTGTTTCTGAAGCAGCTTGTACACATCTTCACACTCCACCCCTTTTACCCAGTATAGAGTCTGGCCTATGGGAGAGACTTAAGATGGACATAGGAGGCCTTACTGAGCCCGTTTCAAGAGAGGCCCATCTGGGGATGTGCTTGTGGTGATGAGAGTGAACACATGGTTACCAACATTGCTTGGAAAACCACGGACAGAGCTTTGGTCTAGGTCTGGGGTGACTGAGGAGACTAGAATAGGCCAGGGTCTGCTATTATAGGCAGCAAATTGTGTCCTCTTCAGAGATTCCCTTTCAGAATGAAAGGGAAATCAGCTTGGACCTCCCCTAACTTCAGGCGCCATGCACCGTCTAGATCCTCCTGCCATCAGTTACCATCACCCTCTTGGACCCATGTGGGGCCAAGCCTAAATTTGTCATGTACCTTATATATGAGACATTAAAGTAGGGGCCAGCCTGACTTACGCTCCCACCTCCACCAACTTTGGTGTTGCCTTGATTCAGCTTATGTTGCGTAGGAGGAAGTCCCAGGGTACTTCCAAGATGATCTCACTTTTGCCTGTTGGCACATGTTTCATTTGGGAATAGGATAGCAAAGAGGCCCTGGGGTTGACAGGGATCCCTGCTGCTAAGACTTGAATGAGGAAGTAAGGATTTTCAGATCTCAGAGGCCTAAACTCCAGTGTCTTCTTCCTTCATGCAACTCATTCTTCGGAGAGCCTACTCTGTGCCAGGGATTAAAGCTGGATCATCCTTGTCGTACAAGAACTCTTAACTCAGCGTGGGTGGTGTTCTTCTAGGGCCTGGCCAGCCCCTGACTGTACGATGGGGATTAGGACCCTCGCTCTATTTGCAGTATAGGGTTGTGAGGACCTGCTCTGTAGACCCCTGGGTCAAAGTTAGGGATGCGACATGCATCAGGTACAGTGTCTAACACACTGTGGGTGCTCAATAAATATCAGTTGAGAGCATGAGAATAAATGAATGCTTTCTGCTCTCAGCCTTATTGGGGAGGGGCATGACCATTTACAGAACTGATGTTGCAGCAGGGCGCATACAACTACAGCTACGTCTTTCACCACACTGTCTCCCTCCAGGTCATTGTGTGCCTCTGATGTCTTTTTCTTGCTCTCAGGATCTCTTTTCTCCTTGCCCACATTCACTCTCTCTTCGATGCAGGTGTCTGCCTCTCTCTCCCTCTCCCTGTTTCCCCTGCTCTCATATTTAAGAGTACTGTAAAACAGCAGGGCTGGGCGCAGTGGCCCATGCCTGTAATCCAGCACTTTGGGAGGCCGAGGCGGGCAGATCACCTGAGGTCAGGAGTTTGAGACCAGCTTGACCAACATGGCAAAACCCTGTCTCTACTAAAACTGCAAACATTAGCCAGTGTGATGGCGCACGCACTCTTAAGTAACTGTAATCCCAGCTACTTAAGAGGCTGAGGTAGGAGAATCACTTGAACCTGGGAGGTGGAGGTGGCAGTGAGGAAGATCGTGCCACTGCACTCCAGCCTGGGCAACAGAGCAAGACTCCATCTCAAAAAATAAAAATAAATAAATAAATAAAAGTGAAACAGCTTTGGGGCTGACTGGCATTGGATGTAACCTGGAAGTTCTATGATCACAAACCTCTTTGAGAGCTAGGATCCATCAGTTTGTTCACCACAGTGTGCCTGACACCTAGCATTAGAGGCCGTATTCAGTAGGGACCCCAAACATTGTTACATAAACACACGGGTGAGGAACATATGCTTGGGAATGCTGAGCAGACCAGGACAGAACCAAAGAACACTGAGCAAGGAGCTACAGTTCTGTTCTAGCTTTGGTCTCAACTTTAAGAGACAGTGTTGAAAAAAATTCCTTGAGGTTTTTAGAATGTCCAGCCAAGCTCCCTGTGTGAGAAATCTGACCGAGATTCTGAGTAGAATTCTCTGACAATTGTGAAATATTTATGTTCACACGGAATCTCTGACTGTTGTGAAATATTCTGAGTAGATTCTGAGTAGAAGCTTCTCTTGGGAATGAAGAGGCTGTGTCTGGAAGCACCATCTCTGGCTTTTATCTCTCAGAGACATGAGAACCTGGGAGCAGAGGGCCCTACAGCAGCCCGATGTTTTAGGAGCATGCAATGCAACATTCCTGACTTCAAGGAAGCAACAGTCACATCATAACGATCTTAATTGCAATAGGGGTCCCTCCTCCTATTCTGCCATGGATGGTCACATCCACCTGCACAAGTCCCCTGCTCTTTAGGTCCTATCTCATCTGTTAATTGAGGGGTGCAGGCCGGATGATCCCCAGGGCTCTGCTGCTCTTGGATTTGTGAAATTAGGTAAGGGCTGAGCTGGGAGTTTAAATAGGATTCCATGTCAGGGGGTCTTACCCTCACAGGACAATTGGAAACTATGCTCTGTTTGATTTCATTGCCTGCAGCACTGAAAATGTCTGAACTGCAGGCTGACTCATAAAGACCCTTCTAGAAGAGCTACTGGCCTAGAGAGGATCCTGCCTTTACACTGAGGGTGGTCACCAGTGCATGTGAGTTTAAGCGTAGAAATCCAGGTCTCTGAAGCACAAGTGTGCATATTGGGGGAAAAACACAAGTATTTCACAATTGTCAGAAAAATAGTACTTGGTTGCCTATTCATGTTTATATTTCCCCCTTCAAGTGTCCCTCCCACCTCACAACACACATACATGCATATGACCACAACTAATGAGATAAAGCAGTGTATACCTCCTAAACCACACATGTCCCCATGCGCTCATGTGGACAAGCAACATATTTACTTGTGTTACCTGCACACATGCCTTTGACATACATAAAGATTCTATGTGTGCCACACACATGCATAGCCTGCATATTCAGACATTCCATTTTTGCCCTAGCCTACTATCATCTCCCAGTCCCTGGAATGTGGCAAAAGGGAATTAAGGACGCAGGTGGAATTAAGATTGCTAATCTGCTGACTTTATCTGAGTAGGCCTATGTAATCAGAAGAGTCCTTAAAAGGTGGAGGAAAGAGGCAAAAGAATCAGTGTCCAAAAGAAGCAATGTCCAGATGTGATGTAAGAAAGACTCCATCAGCCTTGGTTGACTTTGAAGATGAAGGAAGGGGCCATCAATCAAGGAATGCAGGTAGCCTCCAGTTGAAAAGGCAGGAAAATGGATTCCTCCCTCGAGCCTCCAGAAAGTGGTAAGCCATCCCAGTGCCTTGATTTTAGCCCAGTGAGACCTGTGTCGAGCTTCTTATGTCTGGAACTGTAAGATTATTAATTTGTGTTGCTTTAGGCTGCAAAGTTGTGGTAATTTGTTACAACATTGATAGGAAATAAACACCCAGAGAATCAGACAGAGTTCCACCCTCATGAGTCTATGGTCTGAGAGAGGAGACAGGCACAAAACCAGATGCTAGATGACAGATGATAGAGTAAGAGTGGCTGCAAAAACACAAAGGAGGACCCCCAACCTACACTTGAGCATGGAAGGAAGATTTCCTCATGGAAACTTTGTGAAGGTAGCGACCAGTATGGGTCCAGGCCAGCAACACTGACCACTGTGCCTGCACCCACCCGATGCTGATAAGTATTTGCTAGAGGAAAGAATGAGAGAGGAAGAAAGGCAAGAGAAAGGCCAAAACTAGGACCCAATAGATAAATAGGATTAGAGATGGGTGAACACAAGGTGCGGTGAAGCATCCCTGGCAGAAGACCTAGGCTATTTAGAGAACTAAGCAGAGTTTCCTTTGGCTGGGACACAGTGCCCCATGGGGAACAGGGAAAGATGAGTCGACAAGGCACAGATCAGGAGGGCCCTTATCAGCTATAATTAGACATTTGGCCCATATCCTGTGTGCAGTTGGTGCATACTCACTCTTGCTCACTCTCTCTAGTTCTCTCTGGTTCTGTCTCCTCACCCCCAGCCTCTTGGGTGATATTGTAACATCTTTTAAATGGAGTGTGT